TCAAGTTGTGGAAATAAATTTGGCTTCGATCCACCCAAGAGAAAATATGTCACACATTTCTTGTGTTCTCCTTCCCATTCTGCAAACATAGCAAAGCGTCTAGCCATTACATGAAGAAACACCTGTTGCGATTTTTGTTTTTACGTTCCATCAAGTTGCCTCTGACTTATTGTGACCCTATAAATAATTGATCTCCAAAATATCTTGTCCTCAGTAGACCTGCTGAGCTCTTGTACTCTCGAGTTTGTGGTTCCTTTAGTTTAGGGAGTCAATCCATCCCATATTTCATCTTCTTCTTTCCTTGCTGCCTTCAACTTTTCCTAGTATTGTCTTTTCCAGAAACTCCTGCCTTATCATGATGTGCCCTCAGTTTTGTCCTTTTCGCCCCCAGACTTGATTTGCTCTCACACCTACTTGTTTGTTTTTCTTGTAGTTCAAAGTATATGCAAAACTGTCCTTCAGCACTATATTTCAAATGAATCATTTTCCCCCTGTCAGCCTTCTTCACTGTTTATATTTCACACATGTAGATACTGATCGGGAATACAGTGGTGCCTCGACTTACAGACTTAATTGGTTCAGGAAGATGGACATAAGTTGAAACGGTTGTAAATTGAAGCACCATTTCCCTTTTAAATGCAATTAATCTGTTCCTGCTGAAGAAAAAATCACCCCCCCAAAAAATCACTCCAAGACTAATTGGAAATGTGATTAATCCCTTCCAGCTGAAGGGGAAATTTTTTAAAAAAGCAATCAAGCATGCAAGACCCATTAGAAATGCACAGAAAACAAAGGGACCAGGTCCAAAATGTACAGAGAACAAAGGGAGCAGTTCCGAAATGCAAAGAGAACAAAAGAAAAAGCAAGGGAAGCATGCAAGACCCATCGGAAATTGGGGGGGGCAAAAGGAACCAAAACTCCCAGGACCCATCAGAAATGGGGGGAAAAACCCAACAAACAAACAAACCCCCAAGACCCATCGGAAATGGGTAAAAAAACTCCAAAAAGTAAACAAACTCCCAAGACCTATCGGAAA